CAAACACACAGATCCATGAAATTCAACAAAGCATACTTGATTCTATTCATAATATCATCATCCAATACAACTCCAATACATCAAGATTTAAGAAAAAATTGAAACAAACAAGGCAGAAAATTTTGGGGAAGACAGATCTAGATTTGAAGGAGGGATCCCACCCACGGGATCAAGCTCCATTCGTCTTCATCAATATCTTTCCCAAAAATCCCTCTGTTTAGAAAATTCCCTAATGCAGGAAACAGACACAGAAAAATAAGCCTCCTTTTCAATCTTCGTCAACCTCCAAAAATGTTCTCCTCCGTCAACACCACACCACATTCAAACAAGGCAAATCCCCCCAACAAAACAGACCCCAAATTAACCAAAAACCACCCTCTATTTATACCCACACTTGCAGAAAAATGAGACAAGGTGCCAAGGAGAACAGACGATCAGAGCCGGTACAAGATTGGGTTGGGTTGGGGTGCAGCAGCACAGGCGAGTAATGAACGCAGGATGGGCTGGCGATTGGTCCGGGGAAGAGGTGGGGTGATGAGTGTAGATCTGGCTCGGGCAGAGGAGGGGTGATGAGTGCAGATCTAGCTCGGGCAGAGGAGGGGTGATAAGTGCAGATCTGGCTCAGGCAAAGGAGGGTGCAGGCGCGTAGGGGCTAAGGCTCGAGTGCAAGGCAGGGGATCTGTGGCAGAGCTGGGTTGGCTCAGTGCAGAGTTGGGGATTGATGCAGAGGGGAGAGGAAGTAGGAGATTGGTGCAGAGGAGGGTAGAGGTTGGTTCGTGCAGAGGGGGATAAGGTGCGCAGGCTCGGTGAGAAGGGGGGGTAGGGCGCGGTGATGGCATGATGGCCGGCATGGTCGCAGGGGGCGCAGGCGGCTGGGTTGGTGCAGAGCAAGGCCGGTGATGGCTGGTGGGCAGGGGGGGCGCAAAGGGTGCACGGGTAAGGGGGAAGAAGAAGGTCATGGAGGAGAGCGAGGAGGGGGACTTTTTCACCCCTTTTGTTTTTTTTTTTTTTTTTTTGGGTTTGGGTTAAATGGATTTTGGGTTTTGGGTTTTGGGTTTTTGGGTAATTGG